AATTCGTGGTATATTTCTTTCTATTTCTTCATTCAAAGTGCATGTAATCATGGCGCAAACATGAAGTGGTTCATTCTCGATTTTCGGAATCAATTAACTTAAATCTGATATTGAAGCTGAACGTCTCATATTAAAAAACGAGGGCTTTCGACCGAACCTGTTGGACTATCAGTCGTAGCACTATGAAGTGAGAAGTTCCAAGAGACCATAAATGGGGATTGATCAGTGTGGTATTCAACGTTTACCCAACTATCTTGATGATAAAGAAATTCGGAAGAACATCTCAATTAATTCTTTGAGAGAATCATAACTTGGATTCGGTAAATATGACCATCATCTCCATAATGACTCTCTATAACAGCAGCCTTCAATATTTGTTCCATTTGAGCATACCTTTTTCAAACGTCCTCCAAGTTCCGCCAATTTTTCCAAAATCGGTGAATAGAATTTGTCAAGGGCTTGTCCAACATTTGCGGGCCTAATCTGATCTAAAAGATGTAATATCAGATTATTCTTTGCCTCAAATTTGGAATGTGACAAAAAAATAGAGACGACCTTGTCCAGATCATTCTTGTATCCGTCCCGTAAATCATGGACAGCTTCTTCTTCACGTTTGTTCGAATTCGAGAATAAAACTTCAATATCATGGTGCTTAACAAATAAGTGATATCATTCCACTTTAGGTGCTATAGACCACAAACATATCGTTCAAGAATGTCATTCACGGGAGAGATTTAAAACTTGAAAGGTCTGAAGGTTTGACAAAATCGAGAGAATAATTATCAATCATTTCTTTTGATCGTTTAGCAGGATCTTCTAATCCTTGACTATGCGTCTCATTAGAAATTCTCAATAAAGCTGCTTTAAGTTTGGCCGGTATTCTTCCATTACTCTGTAACATTGCTTGATGATTATAACCATCCAATATACATACATTCAAGGATATTCTTGACCTTACAATATCTCTGATGAGCTTTGTCACCGACTAAAACGGGCGGATTCATTGCAGGAAGTTGTTCCTCAAAAGGTAACGCGTGACGAACTCGACTAGGGTCATCAAGAATGAGAAATTAAAATAATGTCACCGGATTCGAGCGTAGAATTTTGTTGTTTTATAAATTGAACAATACCATCTTCTATTGCGATAAGTGGCATGTACATTTTCATCACCTAAATATTAATCAATGTTAAATAATTTAGATGATATAAAAAAATAAAACTCAAAATGATTCTTTTACGAATCGATAAAAATTGTAAATCTTACTTCAATTTCAGCGTAAGCGTCACCTTTTTTTAAATGATCGCCAGACTCCACCAAAAATCTCACAAGCTTTCCAGGAGAGAGTGAACTATTCGCAAAAATAACAAGACTGGCTTTTTCCGTCCAACAAAACTAATAACCCATCATCGGTAAGAGCACGAACAGAAGCCTGAATCCTTGATCCATTCAAGTAAAGCGGGAGAGTATCTGAAGTGATCTAGTGGCGGTAAATTTATAATGAACGCCTTCCTAAATGAAATCGATGATGAAGACGGTACGCAATATATATCTGCTAGGGATTTTCTATTCTCCAAGAAATGTTTATATCCCATTATGGATTCTATGGCTGCTGTATAAGCCTTGGTCACTGCACCTCATATCACAGCCAACATTTTATCAGGCTTTTCGGCTGTTTGATTTTCATCAGATATTAACATGTCCAACAATCCCGTTGTAAAACTATTTTCTTTGAAAGCTTGGGTTTCAAGCAATTTGACTAAATATTCCACTGTGGTTCTAAAAGGTTCTAAAGTTCCCACCAGTCGACAATTCCTTAAGCGCGACTATCTATTCTTTCGAGATTGTTGACGATGCTCCCCATAAGCGAAAATGTGACCAAATTGAGAATCAGCAAACTCATGAAGGCCACCGGCGAGAAATATCCTCAAACATTCGTGCTGCTACGAAAATTAAGTTCATGCACCATA